GTAGGAGATGGAACTTTGTAAAAACTCGGTGCTATTTGCTTTTAGTAAACTTTTAATACTTTTTTCTTCTTTTTTTGGCCTCAAACAGGCTGTGTTGGAAAGATTGCAGAATACCAAAGCAAGCAGCTCTAAAGGGGAGCTCTTCTTCTGAGGTTTGGATTGTCTGTGTTCACATAGTACATTTCTGCAAAGAAGAAAGTTTAATGCCTCCGTTTTGATTTGTCTGCTTCAATTAGCCCCATCCCTACCCCAGAGTTGAGATTTTGCCAGCAGGAACCAGCCATTCATATGGAAGTGGTCACTGATATAGGTCTGCAGTCTGTTCTGTTTCTCTGTGGTCTTGGCAGTTGCAGAGATATCTTGACAGCCCTCTTAAGAGTCCCTTGAAAACTAGTATTTTTTAAAATTACAGAATTGCCTTAAATTCTTCATAGTACTGGCTTTGTGTGACGATGTCTCTGTACATGGAAGTTATTTCAGATTAAGAAGATATTTAAAAGGACAATGATGATTTTAAAATAGCTTCATATCTGGACATATTTATTACATAACAAATTTGCCTTATTTTTCTGCTTTAGCTTAATCCACTCGCAAAGTAGACAGGCTTATTTATTCCAAATATCTTGGGGTGCAGGCAGAACCTGCAGCCTGGGAGAAGCCTCTCTCAGACTTTGGCGTGATAAAGCAGCACTTACAGATGGCAGGCTGGTTTCTTCAAACACAAAGGGAAATAAACAGCTAGTGCTTGGTCAGGGGATTTCATTAGCACCAGGGCTGTACCGTTCTCATGTCCCACGGTGAGATCACTGGCATTACGCCTCTGTAATTGAGATCAGTATCTACCTACTTACCAGGAGCAGAGGCAGAGAGAGAGCTGGGGTGTTTTAAATGAGGTGTAAGAAGCGCCAGAGGGAACCTCCTCGACGTGGCAAAGCCGGTGGGTCTCCACTGCCTCCTGCCCAGAGGGCTCCCAGCTTCTGGCCATGCTCTGCTCAACCTCTTGCACAAAATAAACCAGTATCTGCTGGAAAACCAAGCTGAGCTTTGAAAGTTTGATGTTGGGTTTCATCATCGAAGAGGTGTTTTCACACTGAAAAGGTGGGTGTTTTGCAAACTCTGCCCGACAGTGGAGTTCTAGTGGGAACAGAGCACCAATAAACTGCCTTTCACTGTAGTTGCCACTGGCTTACACACGCAGCCTGGATTTGATCTTGCCTGCTTTTATTGATGTAAAAACTAGCAGTGTCTCATTTTCATGGAGATTCATTTTACATTAAGGTATCTGTCTTGCTGAAAACAGTACACCTTTCTGCAGATTAAAATTAATTTAAGATTAATAAAAATCGAAATTAAGAATAAATTGAGGGTGTTATTTTGTTGTGATGTTTTTTTGTTCTTGTTGTTTCCCCACCGCCAAAGATGTGTTTCAGGTTTAATCTTTGTGTTTCCCATTTTGTCTGAAGTGAGCCCATATACTGAGATGTGACATGCAGTGTTGTGTCTATTCAAAACCATGCTATGTGGAAGTTGTATACTGTACCTGTTGTAAATAAAACAGATACTGGCCATTATCCGTGTGTCTGCAGCCCTCATTTCTCCCTCCTTGGGTGCTTTCTTAGGACCTTGGAGCTAGCTGCTACAAACAGACCTGTTTTAAATCTCTGTGTAATATGGGATCTCACTGAATGCATCTCTGCAGTTGAGTCTGTCCATCTGTCATGCTCTTCATCGCAGGTTGGTAAAGTACCTGATTTGAGTGGCCATTGGGACCAAAAAATGTCCTTTTATTTGCAGCCCTCATGAACAGGATAGGACCAGACGTTTTCTCTCCTTGTCCTCTGCTAAGCACTGTTTCATCACAGTGATACCTGTTATCACTTTACTCTTCTGACTTCCCATTTTTCCTTCATGTTATTGCCCCTTACCCAGTCCTGCCTTCTTTTTCTCCTTTTCTTTCATTCATTTTCTTGTAAGCGAATTAATTTTGCACTAAATTGTCACTTCTTATTCAATCGGTAGATATAGTGGTGCGGTAATGGAAATGAGTGACGGCACCTGCATGCAACGTGTGAAATATGAATGTCAGGTTGGCAATATGGTGAGAGGGGAGGAAACAGGGGGCATGGGGAGGCGGAAGAGGAGGAGAAGGTGTACAGGCCCAAAGGAATGCAATTTCTCTTGAGGAAATTCATTTTACTGATGTTGGAGTATGTTTTTTCAGCTATAGTGAAATAAATAAAAAAAAAAAGAAATGCCTTAATTTTCCTTTTTTTCTCTGGATTCTATACCCAAGTGCACAGGTGAAACAGGATGAAAGATAAACAGGGAGGGAGAGCTCTGGGGAGGAAGCAAACCTCGCATTTGTGCAACTCGCTCTATCACGTGTCAGCAGAATTATTAGTATAGTTTATGATTGGATTAACTAAACTTGAAAAGAAAATTACGTCGTGGACTTCAGCTCATACTTTTGCCTTCTGGATGGCATTTTCTTTACAAGTACATATGCAGTTGCCACATCCAAAATTAACACGTGTATCTATCGTGGCCAGAAATGGCCTTTCCTTCTTTGATACCAAGGCAGTGCCAATGCTCCATGTATGGATTTAAAGCTGTTTGACCCCTCAGGAGAGCTGTCAGAGTGGCTCTTGCAGCATAGACTTGACTGAATGAAGAGATACTTGCTTTGCAAGAGTTCATCTTTCAGAGTCTTGAACTTTTTGAGCTAACAAAAGCTCAAAAAGCTGTTTCAGATTTGTCTGCCATCTTTCAGGCAATATTGCCCTGTTCTTGGTTAAGAGACCCATCTCCTCTCAGCGCACATTTGGTACAAGGCAGCGTGTTCGTGTTTTCATGTAGTCTAAAATGTTGAACAGTGGGCACATACTGGTCCCCCTTTTTACAAACACAAATAATTCAGGCAGTGATTTTTCACTCCATGGCTGAAAGCACTTGAGATAATATGTCCTTGCCAAATTTCAAGCGTATCCGGTCACGCTGAGGCACAAAGGACAGTTCACATAAAGGTGACAACAACTTGTTTCACACTAAGAACATCTATTTTTTTTCTTTTTAAAATTTTTATTTCCTGTCTGCATTTTCAAAAACTGCAAAACCATATTTTTTTTCTTTTTTTCTGCTTCACTGACAGCAGACCAGGAAAACATAATCTAAAAAGGCCAAGTCTGGTAAAGTAATAAGCAATTAAAAAATACTAACCAGAGTGGACGATTTACCCGAGTATTTAGTGGAAGGTCTAGTTTTAATTTCTAAGCTTAACTATTGAAAAAAATGTGGGCATTTTACTTGGAGTTTGTTATGAGAAACATTTTTGGTGGAAGTTGCAGGACTGCTTATAATTAAACTGAAGTCCTTTAGGAAATCTCTCAGCAAAGTTTTATTTATTTAGCTCAAATTATATATATTAGGACACCTACATGCATGGGTATCATTGTAATAGGAATTAATTTTCAAATGCTTGCAATCAATTCTCGCTCTGCATATGCGGGGAGAATCACGTCGTTACATGAAGAAATTCGTGTTGAATTGTGCTGGAAAGAAGTACGTGTTTCAGAAAAGGTGAAATTGGGTCCTTTTTGAAGGTGCTGTGAAGCAGCTTGTATCAGCACTAGTTCTGTGTTTCATAACCATGTAAAATATGAGCTTGTGTTGTACAACAAAGCAATCTCCTAAAAACCTAGAAATCAAAAATAGAAAGTCCTTTGATAGATGTAAGTCAGTATCTTTTTAACATTTGTTATCTATAACATTGCCTACGGACACTCCACCACGGCAAAATTAAATATTCAACACTGTTTTCCCTGTACAAATACCTAGCAGCTTCTTTTAAAAAGCAAACAGGAATTCACCTTGGTCACCTGAAGACCACATGGTGCTTCACATGAAAGATTCGCCACCTCATCAAAAAATCGCATTTGATATTTGACCTAATTCATGCCTCCCCCAAGCAGTTAAATTAAAATGCCTTTACTCTCCTTTGGTGGGAGGGCTCCCTCCATCTTGAAGGGATGCGTTGGGCAACCTGCAGCCAGCATGAGAGCTCGCAGTCGCGGTGGTGGCCGCCTCTCTGGGGCCACCCCAGCCACCTTTTGGCTCACTTGACTGTCGAAGGGCTGCCTGGGGATGCAGGAGGCATAGGCTGTAGGTCTAAGCAGCCCCTAGCAGAGGGGGTTTGGGGAGTGTGCCTTACCCTCTGGGCTGTGTGTTGCCCTGGGTTAAGGAGAGCATGTGTGGGGCAGAGGTGGTGTGAGGCTGGCTGCGGGCATGGGGACGCTGGCTTTTGCAGGAGAGGGCTGGGGTGGGTAGGAAAAGCAAGTGGGGGTTTTCGTGCAAAAAATTGCCCACTCCTTCCTTTGGGAGTCAGGACCCTGTGTGATTTTCAACAAGGAGAGTGCTCAGTTACGGAGGTAAATTAGGTCAGCCGGCTCCTGCCCTTTAGACGCGTCGCCTTTGACTGAGCTGTTTGCTATTTCCCTTGTGTTACTGGTAGAGACCTGTCCTTCATCATTCAAGAAGTTTTCAGGATATCATGCTGCCCATTGCATTTTTTTTCCCTGTGCGTATGGAATAAACCATCCCTGGGCTGACTTGTGACAGCTGTCACTTTGCTCGGTTACAAGGTGAAAAATTTAAAGGGCAGATTACTGCAGGATGACAAAATGCGTCCCAATAGAAATGAGAAACTTCCCTAACTGGTTGTTTGTCTTTCATGTCGTCAACCTCAGTCTTTTGTGAACTGTTAATAATGGAAAATTATAGTGCAGTAAATAATGGCGGATGCTCAGTAGTTTTTATTTCTATACAGAGTTTGCTTCTGAGATTGTTTGCTGGCCTGGCTTGAGTGGTCTGTTAAGTGTACACCTCTTTGAAGTACATCTTAACTTCTTAATCATGTTACTATTGTGAACTAACCTTGCGTTACTTCTTTTTCTTCATATAGTTTTCCC